CAAAACGAAGTATCTCCTGTCAGCACACAAACAGTCAGAGCATACGCGTCTTGGCACCCACGTCACTGTTGACAGTTACAAGTTTGAAAAAGTAGACGACTTCGTTTATTTGGGAACCAGCATTAACACCAATAATAATGTCAGCCTTGAAATCCAACGGAGAATCACTCTTGCCAACAAGTGCTACTTTGGGCTGAGTAGGCAATTGAGAAGTAAAGTCCTCTCTCGTCGTACAAAGATCACACTCTATAAGTCACTCATCGTGCCTGTGCTGGTGTATGGTGCGGAAGCATGGACAATGAAAGCATCTGATGAGGCGGCTCTTGGAGTTTTCGAGAGAAAGATTCTGCGAAAGATTTACGGACCTTTACGCGTTGGTGATGGCGAATATCGCAGACGATTTAACAATGAGCTGTATGAGCTTTACAACGATGTAGACATAGTGCAGCGAATTAAAATTCAGCGGCTCCGCTGGCTTGGCCATGTCGTTCGGATGGACAGAAACGCTCCTGCTCTGAAAATATTCAACGCGGGCCGCGATGCTGGGAACAGAGGAAGAGGAAGGCCTCCCCTGCGTTGGAAAGACCAGGTGGAGAAGGACTTGGCTTCACTTGGCATTTTCAATTGGCGTCAGTTAGCACAGAAGAGAAATGACTGGCGTGCTGTTTTGGACTCGGCCAAAATCGCTTAGGCGGTTACAGCGCCAAATAAGAAGAAGAAGAAGAAGATAGAGGGCTGGCCAATGCCTTCAGTACAGCTTGGCTGTACCTGTATACACGTAAACTCCTTCCCCTACACCTATTTTCCACCACGTAGTCTGTGGCTTTGGGGATTGCAAATACCTCAGCCTGGAAGACCGAAGCATATTCCCCATAAGAAAAAGTGAAGCTTATTCCCATTAACTTCGAAAAGATACTCCAGATCCTGACCTGAGTCATTTTTGGAGCTATCAGTTAAGATTAAACAATGTGCGAGTGCGGGCTTGGTGTTGGAATGAAACCAGCATTCCCTTCAGGGAACGCTCTCTCTTTAGAATCTCTTCAACAAAGGTGATGGTGGCGTGCTATCCTGTAGCATTGAAAAGACACAAGTGCTCAGATATCTGCTACCGGCAATTTCCGCCGCGCCCCACTCAGTCTTATACCAACATTAGGTTATATTAAGTCTGCAGGTGGCCTTTAAGGCTTTCCCACGTATGAAAACACAAAGTGACGGTAAGTGCAGCAGTACGTCAAGAGCATTATACACTACTCCAAAAAATTTAAGTTAAAGAGGCTATCAAGCAACCATTATGGTTCTTTACCATCGAGACCAGATGAATTTTCGTGGACCCCCACTTACAACTCGTAGACCTCCATATTTTTACACGCCAACGTAGACCCCTGTCGAGTCTCCCGTGGAACCCTGGGGGTCCACCTGGACCACTTTGGGAATCACTGTAGTATATTATATTATATTATTTTTTATTTAGAATAACGTCTTGTCTGGCTATTCGGTATACAGGTATGCAGAGCTATGAATTAAAAAAAACATTAGGTTTTAGTTGAGATATTGGCCTTTGACCACTATGTTCTGTAAAGCTTTTGCAAAGCTTTTGCCATTCACTTGGAGGTGGCCAGAAGCAGTGGCGTAGCCAGAAGGGGGGATTTGGGGGATAGATCCGCCCCCTTCGCCAATAAACTTTTGATTTAATAACGCAATACCTAAAATGGTTCCTCTGATTTGCATTTTTGAATTTTTTCTTTATGAATTGAGCAAATATGTACAAAACCCTCAGTAAATCAGACAGATTTATGGAAATTCGAAGTTAATGCTAGTAATATGCTGTAACATTAGAGGAAATTAAAAACGATTTTTCTCGGAAAATTTACGTCATGGTATTTTTTATAAATTTTGTTTCGTAGCTTAGTACTAATACCTACCCTAATTTCTAATTTGTTTTTTAAGGGAGATACCATGTTGTTTTTGTTGTAGCAGCATACAAGTTCCCCAAAGAGTTTTTGGGAAGTGTTGCTGGAGTGACAGTCCTTGGCCAAATATAAATCTGGGTCGTTCCGGTTACGTAGACCCGACTGTCGTGGGAACGAAGGGAGATACCTTCGCAGGCCTCGGTTATCTACTAAAGTCTGGAATGGTATTCATGATCTTTGTGAAGAGGAATCCAAACTCGAAGAGGAAGAGAAGTTAGTCTACACAGAAAAATTTATATGGGTCATTCCATACAATATTTACACCGCAATATTTTTTTCGGGGTCAAATATATTTTTTTACATTCTCGGAAAAAATCTCGGAAAAAAATCCCGAAATTTTGAACTCAGGGAGATGTTTCTTTTTTAATTGTTTGCAGTTAATAAACTATTTATCGAAAAAAACCAGTTAAGGTATCAACATATACGTAATTACCTCTGCTTTCTATGAAAGTGTGAGATAGATTAAAATAAAAACATGTTGCATTAAAAAATTGCATTATTTTATTTTTGATTTATTTTTTTTTATTAACTTCATCAGGTTTGGTTTTTATTTTTTTCAACCTGTATAGTTTGCAAACTTTATGGAGTACGCTGTACAAAGTTGAGAATGGAAACACCAAAACTGCAGAAGTTACGATTTTTTTCATACCTGCGTACATAAACTTGATTATAAACTTTATGAACATGCGTACATAACCTTTAGTATAAACTTTATGAAACTTTATGTACAGGTATGAAAAAAACTCGCAACTTTTACAGTTTTTGTGTTTCCATCCTCAAATCTTTACAGCGTACTCCATAAAGTTTGACAACTATTCAGTTGAAAAAAAAAATTTAAATCAAACAGGATAAATACGCACATTTTGATACCTTAACTGATTTTCCCCGACAAATAGTTTATTAACTACAAACAATTGAAAAAAGATACTTCTCCGTGAGTTACAAATTTCGGAAATTTGATTCAAGATTTTCGAATATCATGACGAAATAAAAAAATAGGTGTCTTCTTTTTTCGATAAAGAATGTAAAAAAAATATATTTCTCCCCAAAAAAATATTGAAATGTAAATATCTTATGGAATGACCCATATTACATATATGTATATAACTTCTAAAGCAAAGGATTTTTTCTTATCTAGCAAAATACGAAATGGTATGACTGAATAGTATTTATGATCTTTATGAAGACAACCCCTACTTCGAAAAGAGAACGCACAATTTCTCTAAGAATTAAAATTTATAGATGTGTATAAATTTGCTTAATGCAGATTCTGAATGAAGAAAACTTATAGCGATCTACAAGGCTAAATTTGTAGAAGATTTGTTCTTATCATGAAATACAAAAAATAAAACAGGATAAAAAAAGAGTCCTATAAAAATATGTTTATGCGCAGAGCCTTATAAACCTATGTTATAATATACGTTCTTAATTAAGAGCATTATAAAACTTATAAGAGTACAGTCTGCAAGTAGAGTCTTACAAAACCTATATAAAACCGATTGGTCTTCACACATAGACAAGAAATATATAACGGTAAGAATGGCTCATATATAGTGGAGGGTAAATAAATTGGGACACGACATTTTAACAAATTTTTTTCTATTTTTCTTTTGTTTATTCAACACTTTTTATTGAGCTTGAGGCCGTTTTTAATGGAAAACTTATCATGGAAAAGCAACAATAATTTGAAAAAGTGAAGTAGAAGTGATAGCTATTTCGGAAATTACCACATTTGCTCATCAGACTTCTTTTAGTAGGATTCGAACCGACGATCCCACTAACTCAGCCAGTTGCCTTCGCACTGTGCTAAGTTCGCCTTGTATATTATCGTTGCTTTTTCCCCACTTTTTCATTTGTTAAGCCAACACAATCAAGCGCAGCTATTCCGCTGCAATGCACACTTGATCATGTGGTTGGAATGTTGTGGAATACACAGCATACAGTGCGTAGGCAATAAATAATTGGTACCGTAACAACGGTTTTCATCAAAATCTGTAGCATATTCAAATGCCAAAGTTTTAGAGAATTTTATTCTTTTGTGCGGCGCGTAGGTCATGACCAGCAACATGCTAAACACAGCGATGTAAGGAAAGTGGCGTAAAATTCAGTTCCACTTCCCGTCAACCGGTACAGTATGATGGCCAAAATTCTATAATTATAAAGATTGAGGTCCTAAAATGATCGAATACATGCGCCTCATTTGGAAACAGTTTGGTCTTATGAAAATTCAGCATGGCATCTCAAACATGACGTCTAAACTAACCGCAAATTAGATTTGCCTTTACAACTTTTGTGCCACTTGAGAACCCAAAAGTAAAAACGAAAAAGTAACAGCAGGTTATGGTTTTGGTGTTGCTGATACGAACATGATTTTAAAAATTCATAATGGCGAGTTCAATATGGAGGCCAAAAATTTAAAATCGGTCGATATGCTTGAAATGTTTTCCGCCATTGAAATGGGACCGCCATTTTGAATTTTTCCAACCTGTCCACAGACTCGTAATCAGCGGTCCCAAGAACCCCAGAGGAAAACATTTCAAGCGGATCGGATCGATTTTAATATTTTAGTTGCCATCTTTAGTTTGAATCTTTCTAACCTGCACTCAGATTCGCAATAATTCTGGGCCGAAAAAATTAATATCATACAATAACGTTTAAATTAGCTGAATTTTTTTTAATGTTCAACACAAAAATTTCCCTCTCCACTTTCCCATTAACAATTCACAATAGAGCTGTTTTTTTCACTTAACAACACTACTCTTAGGTCGCGTATTTTTTAACCGACCAGGCTGAACTCGGATAAATAGCCGAGTTTGTGTTGTTGCTTTGCGTGTATTTCGCCATTTAAGCGAGTGTTCTTTTGTAGCTCGGTTTCAAAAGAATGGACCTATTATATTGGGAAATTCCAAATCATATTTAACGATTAAATTATGAATTTTATTAAAAAGATAATAACCGTTACTGACATCCAAGAAAATTAAATTCACAGCCTTTCTAGCAAATCATTAAAATAATTTCCTTCATCCTTAGAATGGCCGAAAATTCTAGAAATTCTAAACTCTCCTTAAAAGACGATGAATGCACTTTCACTTGGAAACTTTTCACTGGTTGGGATTTTATGATTGGCAAGTTGCAAATACATTTTTTTTCAAACGTATGCATTTTATTACTTTCCTAATTATTATAAATTTAGGTCACGCAGAAACAGCGCACAACCGCATTGCTTCCGTAGTAGTTGGCTTCAAGGAGGTATTGCTCGAGGAAGCCGAAAAGAAGAAGGATAATCGCAAGTGAGGCAAATTTGTATTTGTTTCTTACCTTTTATATAAATTTTTGTCAATTTGCATTTTATGGTATTTTAAAATTCTTGAAATATTTTATCTTGCCGATCTTGCTTTTACTACCCATTCGCAGTTGGCGCATAATACTGCAGCGAATATTGGTGAATGTGGTGGTGATGGGTCTATTGGCCGCCTCCGCGTACACTGTTGTCACCCTGGTGAATAAGTGAGTACCTACCGTTACCAGGTGATTTTTATCGCATTAAGTTTTATTATGCATCATGCGTGCTATATTTATTGCAAATTTAATATTTCAATACTCTGAACTGGTTTTCTTTTTTTTTGCATTTCGCACAGCTCGGAACAACTGGCACGTAATGGCAATTTACTCAGTCGCAATGCGGTTAACATCACCATCACACTTTTAGCCTTTTTTATGCCTATGATATTCGACGCACTGGGACTATTCGAAAATTGGCATCCGCGGCAACAGCTACGATTGCAATTGGCACGGTAGAAAAAAATTTCTTTCACTCGCACATACTCGTTTATATGCATATTAGTATTTTAATTAAATGTACTTAGAATGTTGAGTCTTGTTGAAAGATATTCGCATAGTTTAGGGTAGCTTAGTGTGAGCCTTTTATACTTTTCCTATAAGAATACTTCCTGTAAGCAGCCCAGCTTGGGATATGCGGTTGGCTCTGTTACAAGGGCCAACGAGCTTCCTGCTCTCACATTCTTCTTTGAAGAAGGACTCCATACAAATTAAAGGACAGAGTCAGATGCTATGCTTAGCCCCCTTCAGGTCAAAAAAGGGTCGCGGAAGTATCTCTATCCGTTGCCTTTTTTGTTACAGGACCATATGAAAATTGCAGCTCTTGAATTTATTTATGTAATTCAAAAACTCTTCGCAGACTCTTTAGCTTGAGTATTATATTTTATAGCAGGTATTCTTCCCTTGACTCCTTTCGCCGAATTTCCTTCCTAAACAATCTGTTATCTGGAAGTAAGTTCAGATCAAAAAGGTTGACTGAAGGGAATCACCATACGGCTCTTGAGGCCTAAGAGGCCCATTGTAAGGCCCAGAATGCTTTCCAAAATCGTTACACTTTATGTTCTATCATTAGGTGAGTTACTTTGAAATATTTTTTTTCTTACTCATATAAAAATATTTGTCCCCGCTCAGGTTATTCGATAATCAACATGAAAAAAAGGTTTAAACAAAGAAAAAAATGAAAAAAGTCGTAACTGTTTGTGAATGAGCATGTTAACTTTTATTGTTTTATTCTATTTTTGCCTGAAAAATTTTATCAGCGTAATACTACGTTCAAATTGACGAGCTAAACATGTTAAATGGGCTTGAACCAGTTAAATGAACAAAACACGTTCATAAACAGTTAAATCATTTAACTCGTTTGAAAACCAGTTCAACGCAGAGTTATATCGGAAAGCTTTCTGCTCCGGCCAATCAGAAAGACCCAAAAGCTTTCATTTGACACGCCCACGTTCAAAAAATGTACATTCTGAAAAATAAAAGAAAATTAGAAACTATCAAAAAATATCAAAATTGTATGCATGTCTGCCCGCCAAAAAAGAGGCCAAGGCGGTAATTAGTTATTTCCCATGAGGTCTCATCGTACGCAGAGATAAATAGTGCATACGAACTAAACAAAGTCTCTAAGTGATCCGTATGCGTTAATATCATGAAGCAGACATTCGCACAAAACAAATTGAAACACAAAAGCTTGTTTGTTAATATTTTTTTTTCAAATGTTTATTGGTAATCAAACAACCGTCAAAGTTAACTCCAAATGTTCAATGTAGACGATTGTGTTTTCCAAAAAGCTCTTTTTCATTTAACAAGTTAAATGGGGCCAATTTGAACGTAATATAAGCATGGCTTTCTATTATATAATAATAATAAAATTAGGGTAACAAAAGATTTTTTAACAAGAAAACTTTGTTAAAACCGCACTAAAATGAATAAAATAAAATAAGTCAAGCTTTCGTTAAAGTTACTAAAAGCCAAACGCACATGCATAATTCGTTATATGTATGCAGATATGTAAATGCCGCACAGTGTGCTTTTTGAACACTCCATGCGAATTAATCGTAGCGCTTTCGACAGAAGCAATATTTTGATATGAAACAAAATGGTCTTGAAAGCTAATGTTATTCCATTTCACAAAAAAATACTGCCATTGATCCACAAATAATCCTTGACCTTAAAAAAATTTGTCAAAAATAGTGTTCTTCAAAAAAAACATGCAAAATCCAGCGGATTTGATCCAAATAAAATTTTTTGTGTGTTTTATTACAATACTAGTATAAATTTTGAGACGAGAAATACGATTCCAAAAAAAAAATGTAACACGTCAATTTAAGAAATGCATTTTTGATTGCATTTTTTTTATTTGCATGCAGCTGTGCATCCTTCTTACAATTTTATATCACTCGAATAACACGCATGCTGTAGTGCTATTCAAGGTCTTTAATTTGAGCGATGGTGGAAATCATTAGGCCCTCCGAGAGCCAAGTTATAACAATTTTAAACCAAACTTCGAATCTGCTGTACGAGTTTTTTCTCTGAAATTAGAAGAAAAAAATGCAAAAATGTCGAATGAAATTTCTAAGTTTAACTTCAGAATCGTTATAATTTGGCTCTCAAAGGGCCTAGAGACTTCTGCATTGGCTCAAATTAAAGATCTTGAATAGCACTATAGCATATTTGGTCTTCGAGTGATATAAAATTGTGAGGATGCGCAGCGAATTTCAAGCGCTTGGTAATTTGGGGAATCCCCTAGTTGTTTTTAATGGAAATGGCTATTCGTGTCGCTCGAAAATGCCGGTATGTGCTCCCATCAAAGTTTTGCTTTCTCCTACGTCGGTCGTCAGTAAGAATTTCTAATGTTGTTAGTTAGTTATTGCACGCAAGCATGATTGCTTCTTTATTTTCTTAAGAAATAATTAAATATTAATAATTTTTAAACATGCACACAAAAAAGCATAAGTTTTTGACTTTAAGTGAAAAATCAGATATTGTGGAATACATACGAAAAGGTGCAGGTGTTACTAATTTAGCAACTAAATATGGAGTGACAAAGTCTACAATACATATGTGGAATAAGAAAAAATAAAAATGCTATCTCTAAATGTGCCAACAAAACATTTATCGGTCCTGGAATAAGGAAAACTATGCACCCCTCAGATTATCCAAAAATGGAAAAATCGCTATATCGATGGATTTTGCATATAAGAGACAAAAAGCTCCCGGTTAGCGGACTGATGTTGAAAGAAAAGGCCAAAGAGCTTCATTGTAAAATTAAAGAAAATTGTCTTGAATTCATAGCCAGCTGGATGGCTTCAAAATTTCAAAAAGAGATATGGTGTTCGGTTGCTCCATATTTCTGGTGAAAATTATCTTCGCAGCACCAGTTGGTAGATCCATTCAAAATAGCGCTAAAGACGAAAATGGAACAGCTTGGTTTAAGTCGTGAGCAACTTTACAACGCCGATGAATCCGGTTTATTTTGGAAACTTTTGCCACAAAAACACCAGGAGCTTGCCACAAAAAGACCAGGTGCAAAGATGGAAAAGCAAAGGGTAACGTTCCTGTACTGTTTAAGTGCAGCAGGATCTCATCAACTCAAGCTTCTTGTGGTCTAGAAAACCCCGTTGTTTTAAAGGTTTTGACTGCCCTGTTTATTACCGACATTCTAAGTCCGCTTGGATGACTTATACAATTTATGTACATAGGTTACAAAATTTTTGACACAAAAAGGACTACCAGTTAAAGCTATCCTTTTATTAATTGATAACGCTCCATCGCATCCACCTGAGAATGAACTTAAAAGTGAAAACGACTCTATTTTAACAATGTTTATGCTCCCAAATGTGACCCCCCTCTAATACAACCCATGGATCAGAATGCAATTAGGATTACGAAACTCTATTATAGAAACAGTATTTTGGCTTCCGTTGCTGCAAAGGGGTGTGATTTGCTAGAATCACACCCCTTTGCAGCAACACACTTAAGGACGCTATTATTACTTTAGAATCTGCATGGAGTAAAGTGGATCCTGTTGTGCTATCCAAATGCTGGAAAATGTTTTGAATATGGTAGAAAATCAAGAGGATTCTGAAGAAGGAAAGTAGAAGATTTGGAGGAAAGCGCAGCCAATCTTTTACAAAACTTGAGACCTGCGGTTTGTGTTTTTAGAAACGTAAACTCGAAAAAGTTTTATTTATTAAATTTCACTGCAGGTTGAATTCACTGCTTTCAACGTTAGAGAATGAATGGAGGATGCTACTGAATGCAATGACAACGGAATACAGGAAATATCCAGCGAATATGATTGTACTGTGGAGCCACAAAAAAACCATAACAGCAAAGGAAGCTATATATTTAATAATAGGTTCATTCCTTATCTTTTTGGACTAAAATCTGAAAAGTGTCAAAATGCCAGAGCGTAAGCAAAATGCGCTCACTAAAAGAGAATAACAAGAAAAGTAAAGGAACGCAAAAAACCAAATTTTGAGTCCAAAGAAAGGCAACAATAAAGCTAACGTCAAATAAGAATGGAAATGTATGTACACAACGCATTCACACAAGTACAAGCACAATAAACACTTACTATATCAATTATATTTTGCCTGCTTCCAATTTCAATTCACTTTTTTTCCTTTTTAGATTATTCTCACTTTTTGCATATTCTTTAATTTCCGTTAATTTAAATTCAGTTGAGTTTGACACTTTTCAGGATTTTGCCTGGAAAAAATTCTTCTGACTACTTCGGACTAATGAGAGTCACTCTCACTGTGCGTTGCTCTCTCATTTTTGCTGTCATTTCGGAGTTAAGGAACGCTTTTTGGACTAAATCTGACTACTTCGGACTTTTTCTGACTATTTCTGGGAGATAAGGAACGCTCCTAATGCTTTGGAATGGGCTGTGTTTAGGCGCGCCTGCTAACACCGGGGGCCTAAATGCATGCTATGTACCGCTGCATGTGCAAAAATTTCCTTTATGCCATTTATGAAATTTTTGCACATGCACTTCTCAACTGCCATGTAATTGAACTTTCTTAAGTTTTAATTAGATGGCATTTCAAAGTATGCTCTGCCTAGTCGGATGCATCCTCCGGACACTGCTTCCGGGGCATTTTGCGGACTCTGAATGACTTACAACCATGCAGAGGTGGCAAACGAACTTTGCCATTGACCACAGTGCCTACCCACCATTTTTGAACTAATAAATATTTTTTTATATAAATACATACATGCAAACATACTGGTCTCCCCTCTCACTGAGTTATTCAGGCTGATGGTTGACCAAACGCACTTAAATATAGGTATTGAAGAAGCTAAGGGAAAAGGCTGTATTTAAGGTGGTTGAACAAAAGAAGCAGCATAAGCGGATTACCGATTTTTTTTCCAAATGAGTTCTTACTTATTCATAAAATTTAAACAGAATATGAATTTATGTATATCTAAATACACATGTTTACTGCAA